AATGTATGTTGGCCGGATACCATCAGCAACGGCCTTCTTTGGGAGAGGACAAACCAGCTTCTCGCTGAAGAGGAAATACGGAAAAGACGTCGGAAGTGGATAGAACATACATTCAATTACCAAACTGCATCAGGAAGGAAGCTCTAGATTAGAATCCTGGAGTGAAAAGGAAAAATGGATGGCCAAAGAATACACTTCGTCGAGGATCGGGAGCAGACAAGAATAGGGTGAATGGCAACTGGAAAGGATTACCCAGGAAAGAGTTGGATCCAGAGCGCTGGTGAGCGGCCTATGCTTCTCTACTAGGAGCAACAAGCCTAAGTAAGTAATTAGGTAAACTATAATAGTTAACATAGGTGTCCATAGGGATACAAGAAATAGTAATAGTGGATCGGCAGAAATATTAAGAGCTGATGGGGTGATTGGATTATGAACGAGGAGATCACTTATAGTAATAGAGTTATGAGTATAGCTTTGAAATATGATGATATATGATGTTTTCATGTTCGACGTTTTCTAGCCATTTTATTCACCTGTGAGAAGACAACATTGTTACAGATAGCAATTAACTGAGGGAAACACCTTACTGTTATCACAACCCAGTACAGTCAGCAATGAGACTTTTGACTCAGAACATTAGTTGCTGGTTTTTGTCTTATTATTCTCCAAACGACTTACCTGGGATGACTGAACCGAAAGGAACAAATGTTTCAGCTAATCTGCCTCAACTGAATCATTATGGTATGCAAGTGCTACATTTTTTGACAAGGTAGCAGATATGATCGGGTAACATCTATGTGTTAGACTTTATAGGTCGATGTATTTAGCGGCACATTCGATCTACACATAAGCTGTTTTTCGAATTCGGAAGTATTCTTTTATGATTAGTCAAAACATATAAGAATCAGAAAGAGAGAAATCCAGCACAATTTAGGAGCATTTCTCACGGATTTCTGTAAAGCTTCTTCATAAAGGTGAGTGATTGCTCAACTTCTGTTCATGTTCATTGTGAATAAAAAGTACAACAAACCTGGATTAGGTTCTCATAAAATCACATCAGTGTATCAATAAAGTTTGCCTGGTTGTTTTATTGATTAGCGACAAAAATCTAAAATAGATCATTACAAGCTGTTGTCTATAACCCTAAAGTATCTCGTGTAGTAACTGAAACATGTCGTTCCCATTCAAAGAAAATATATTCTCCCGCAGACTTTAGGAAACCACAGAGTACTGAGCACCATTTTATCTCGCTCTGAGAACTTTTCTAGTGTTTATATGAGATCGTTAGTGAGTTAAAAACTAAGTCCTTCGTGATTCAAGGCGATAACACTGTCTTCGATTCTCCTCCTCTAAGGCTATACATTTTGTTAAGTTTTGGTGGGTATATTAGAAAACAATGGTACAGTGTTCAAGATCAGGACAAAACAAATTTCCAATTCTACTGCTTTTTAATGGCTCGACCACTGGAAGAACCATATTTGAGGATATATTTCTATTTAAAGGCGACGTATACTGTTGCAAACATTGAAATGAATTATAATAACCATTATCAGTACAGATTTACATTTATTTTGCTGTTGTAGAAAATAATGGATCGTTTGGATCTAAACGGTGATGGAAAAGTTACATTTTCGGAATATGAAATAGCGATTGGAATCAATAATAACTAAAGATGGAACTGTATCTTACTGATTTCATGTATCACCTAAATAAAAATAGATATATACGAAAATGTTTTTAATGTTGTTCATTGTATTATCTCGTTCATGAATTGTATGACGTTGTCCTTATTTATTCCGGTAGAAGGTCTGTCATTCATCTGCATGGTTACAAAGGAAAACGTCTTTATACTAGCGGATAGAATTTTTAGCAAATAAAACATAAACCACTACATACATGTTTTCAGCAGCTGGTTAAACTAACTGGTGAGATGCACTTATGGTAAAAATCTCACATCACCTATTATTATATGAACTTTAGAAATGTCTTGGTAGTACTTTTATTTTTATATTTTATAAATGCCACGTAAACTAATTATTTACTAAAGAATAAATAAAACAAACGACCTAACCACTTAATGATCGTTAAAGTTTTTAGATCAGTTTCTCAAATTATATAAGATGTACCAATGACACATTATCCTTCTTAATTAATAGCACATAAGACACAAAAATGATTTGGATGCATCTTGATGCAAATTTTTAGGAAGCACCATACCTTAGTTTAAGAATTCTTGACAATAGTTTATGACAAAACTATTATATAATACAACAAAAGCTAGGAAGACAACCCACCACAAACAAGGCCATTAGAATGAATTAGCACAATAATTGTAAACTAACAGAAAAGATCACTTGTACGCAAAAATGGAGCTGACACACAACTGTCTATAACAGCAGTAAAGACATGGCAATTCAACTATCTAACACAGTATCAACCTGAGTTACAAATCATCTTCATCATTTAAACGTTATGCTAAATATGTTAGTATTTCAGTAGGCACATAGATACAAATTATTTAGTTTCTAAGATATCAGTATTCCTTTTATGTAAACAAAGAAACCGTTAAATTCCTTAGAATGATAGTCATCATAATTAGACCATTATTTATTTGGCTAGATGATGAATTTTTTATTTTTTTAATAAATTTTTATAAATATGCCAAGATATTGTTTTTTTGTACAAAATTAATGCTTCGTTTTATTTTTTAAAATAGAAGTTGATAAATATTTTATCCGATGAGATATTGTGAACTGTTATGTTATCTCTCTTGAGCGGAATTTTATATTATGGTATAAAAGCATGTTTTTAGTGTATAGCTGTAGATAGTGATTTACATTTTATTTGATCAACTTATATGATCGTTTGCAATGGTGCAGGTACATCCACTCCTTGTGTTCTCCTAAATTTTAATCTTTTGAATTCTTCATGTCCCTTTATTCCTGTTTCCAAATTTATTTCACTGGATTATACTCCTTGAGTAACATCTTCAAACCCTAATCTTTCCGATTACTACCTTCACTTTTGCTACCTCTACTACTATGGGATTTGAATAGACAACTGTATTTCTGTGCTAATGTGGTATGGCAACTCGAACTGATGTACGTATGTACGAAGTTCTACGTTGTTGCTGACTGACTGACGATTCTAGTATTTGAAAATATAGATAATAATTGGCTAAAGTTGATAAATAATTTTTAATAACAATTTTTATCGTTACTCAGAATGACTCCTAATGAACAGCATATTTTGTCAAAACTCAATACATGGGTAACACATCTACTTGCACTGATTCAAATAATATCTGATATAGATATATATATCTTTACAGAAAAAGAAAATCTGTGTATTCAAGAGAACCTCAATAGTTATTTAATTGGTAGAGCAAACATTATTCAAATTCTTATGTCTTTTAAACCATTCACTAAGTGAACAAACGAATTTTATTTGCATTAATAATATCTTGAATGTGATCAAATGAACTAAATATAGGTGGTTTGATTCTAGTGAAAAGTATAATCCAATGACTGACTGATTCAGTGATTTCTGCAAAACAGAACGGTGTTTACAAAGTGTTTGTATAGAGAACTATCAGTAGGAACCATAAACGTAGTTTCAAACGAATATGCATATTGAGAGTTTGGTGACATTAATATTTAACAGTAAAGGAAAATCAATTTTTAAGTAATGAGGCTACCATACTTAGACCTTTCATAAATAAATAAACGCTTATGAGTCAGATATGAAACTCGATTCAAATTATTTAATCGATTATTGAAGGTTGTCCATACAGTGAAAAACTGTGTTCGAACTAAATCACTTTCAAAAATGTGTTTGCTTTCATTTAGTAATGAATCACAGAATGAAAAGCTCAATCATAAATTTTTTCTTCATCTCAGTAATGAAAATAAGAATGAATAAATAAAATTGGTTTTAAAGAAATATAAATATTTCTGAAGTGGGAAAGAGGGCGAACATTCATATATTCTATGGTTATCTATGAGTTCAACATAGATAATCCTTAGAATGATAAATTTTGTTAATAGGTGGATTGTTTTTCTGACTGTTGATCAGATATACTATTAAAATGTAGCGTTAGTTATGTGTTACATAATGAAGGGATGATAATGTATTGAATATGGCAACATGTATTCATGAACTACATCATTATAATGTTTACTCAGCATACCTAAATCACATCAGCGTTGTTAAGCGTTGATCTTGTTGAGTCTAATGACCACTTCCTTATCTTCCAAAATCTATAATATGGTTATGTCCTAGAGAGTCAGAATATTCCTCGAAAAAAGCCCTGAGAAAGCTGGAAAACATTTTATCCAGTTAACATTGAATAGAAGTTTCGCAGAAACATCTAGTAAGTTAGGAGTCTGATGAGATGACAGCCTATCATGTTACTATGTTTTGCATCGCTCTGGAACTTTTCGCAAGACCAAGGCCGTCTGAAATGCTATAAATTCCCTAAATAAAGTGCACACAAACTAACCTTGGTGTAAGGCGTTCTTTCCATATTTCGAGCCCTCATTCTCCTGTTCAAGTTGTCGTGTAGATTTAGCATGTTAGCTATAGAACAGCTTAAGAAAGCAATTCAAGTGTTCAGTTAGAAGATTTATCAGTTTAGAGACATTTTACACTACTTATTATCTATATTTTTCAGTAAGAATACTCGATTTTCATTTCAATAAAAGTATATCATTAAAAAATACATGAAAGAACTTGTTAATTATATTTACAAAATCAGAAAAGGATTTTTGTGGATATTATAGTATTTTAATAATTGAGTTCATGAGTTAATTAAACCTAGACCACCAAAGAAAACCTGGAAGTAGTAGACGGCCGTTTTGTCCTGATGTGAAGCTCTTCAACAGTGCGTATATATTATATATATTAAAAGCTTTTCGTTCTAATATGAATATTATCATCATTTCAAAACGTAATATTGTCTTCCATGTGATGATAAAAGTTTCTGTTTTAGTATTAATCTCATGACTTATTATTCACGTTTCGGTAAAATCAATCTGTTTGATTCTGTTCTATTATATACTATGACTATGTTGCGTAATAGAAAAAAACTATTTGATACATAATTGTAAACATTTCTGGGCAATAATCCAATAAACATTTAGAAATAGAGTAGTTACTTTAACGTTTTTAGGAATTTCTACTTTATGCTAAGTTAAAGCTTGTGCTGTGTGAAACATAAAACGCCTCATTAGGTATTAACATATTAATGACAGTAATAAATCATTTATTTTTTGAATTTATTTTGTATTGTTTGTTCAGATCTTCACATTGATGTTTACGACTGCAATTGGATAACTCTCTTTTCGGCATATATGCATCCTGTCCGGATTGTCTCGATATTACCTTAACTCACAAGCATTATAAACAAAGATGGACGGTGGCTAGCAGTAGAATCCAGGACTCAGGTCGATGATAAAACTAAATAAAAATGGGGAAAATGGACACTGTTGTTTTTCCATGTAGTTCCAAAATAAATAGTTTTTTTCTTACAATTTATCGCCTTCAGAATTGTTGAACTTGATATACAACAATATAAAATTTATGGAATACATATGAATCGATTATAATCATTTTATTTTTAAACTCAAATATATTTTCCTTAATTGTCAAACGAGTTGTACTTTAAACGGCGCCAAACTATGATTTAAAACTTTCAATAAATACATAAATGTTACGATCAAATTATCACAAGTCAATATGGTACAATAGCATACTAGTAATCACAACCTTGATGTTTAATTTTTAATATCCAACACATATTAATATCATGCTACAAATCTTTGGAATCCAAAGTTTAATTAATCAATATAACGCCAGATCATAAGACTTCATAATGGTGCAAATTAACGATTTTATACTCAACAAAACATAGAATCATAGTTTATAAATGTGCTATGTTGAAATCTCTTGATGAAAATATCTCTATCAACACTGACGAGGATTTATCAGGTCACAGCTTCAGAATATTTATTTTGAGGAAGTTTCAAGTAGTAGTGATAGGTGTACAAAGTTAATCACTGTTTTTCAGACACTGCATGATAGTACTTCTAGCGACGTGAATTAAATGGCAATGTTCGATACAAGAAAACAAAAATGGATTTTTTACTTTGGCGTAGACGAGAAATAAAAAATAACTCATAAGCAGAGATTGGTGGTGGCTAGCAGCAGAATGATTGTGATTTAAGGTATTATCGAATCCATTTGTACAGGATGTATATATGCCAATAAAAGATTGATCAATTGTGGTCCTAAACATCAATAGGAAGATTCAAACAACCAATATACAAATAACATAGTTTATTTAAATAAGCAAATCGATTGCATTGAGATCGATTGGGCGAAGGAAGTTATCTAGCATTTCAAAATTTGGTCGCCTTTGTGAAGATTTGATGCTGATGAACATTTTGTACAGTTTTTGATGTCATAGAAATGCTTTTAAGTCACAAGTGAATTGGAACGATTCAAATCAAATAACAGTCTCAAAATCATTTATTATTACATAACCTGCACTTCGGAGAATAATTTCTTTCGGATTATTTCGAGTACGTGACTCTTCTAAATAACCTTTTTTTCTTGATTATTTGTGTCCAAAGGTTTACAAAGTTCATAAAAGTGTAAAGTGATACTTTTTCGTATATCGAATGACAAGGCTTTAAAGATCGTGTAGAAATAGACGAACTAAGAAGTTCTCGTTAACTTTTCACTTCAAATTACAAACTAACTAATTAACTACAACACATTTGAGATAAAACCTTAAAACATTTGGACAGTTATTTTATTATTCAAACCTACCTCACGGTTTGTGATTTACTAGTTTGTACATATGAACATTTTGAAGTTTCAGAGACTTTATCGACCAGTAATGACCTTGAGTTCATCACAGGTCCTTTCTTTAAAACCCATGATCAAAACGCCATGAAGAATGGACATTTTTAGACAGGTTTTGATAAAGGGGAGGATGGGAAAATCCTTGAGCAAATTGTGCTTGTAAGAAAAGTTTAAATGATATTCAACGCGATAGTAATTCGTAAACCAATGAAGCGCCAAGAGAAAATTACGCATATATAGACTGCATTTGGAACTTGGATGAGACATGCAAACCAGTTCCGTAACGATAAAATAATAATGAACGCAGAAAACATTGCCATTAAAAGCCCGTTCGATATATTTGTGAAGACATTTCAAGCAATCTCAATCAACGACAAAAGTCAAAGAAACAGATGAGTTTAGAAATGAATGATTATAACACATAAAGATAGGGCGTCACAATGAACCTGCCATAACGTTGTAGATGGACCCAAAAACAAATTCTTATTCTCCTTGATAGTAGAGGGGTTAGAAGCCTTCAGTAATTGTTAGGAAGTGTTCAAAAGCGATGGAAACGCTGCAAAGACTGTGTTCAATATGGGTCCGTTTTCTGCCTTCGTAGTCTATCTTACATCATGAATTCTGGCTTACTAACGACTAGTTCTATCACAAGATATAAAGGGGTAAGGCGAATAATTTGTAATCGTTATAATAACACAACTTAAATTTGTTTAATAAAATAGATCTTTAACATAAGACAAAATCAAAAATATGGTTTGATAAATCCATTAAGCATACTTAACAATCTCCTAAAACTAATTGTTGTGTTGGAAGGTAAAGCAAATACAATAGCTAAAGTAATTTTAAGTTTTGAAAATAAGTTATATGAATATTCACCCAAAATTTGAAATAAACGTTTGGTTGGTATATGATAAATTTTAGTAACAATTGAAATTTTAAGTTCAGTCAGTGAGATTATTACAAACATAAGTATTATGTCGAATACTTTCATGTGCTTATATTCATTAATTTAATCCTTCAGTAAAAATATATGTATAAAGTTTTTGATTAAGATCATGAATCGATCAATATTAGACCACCATTAAAAATCTGGAGGTATTGATCTGTTGTTTCGTCCCAATATGGGACTCCTCAGTATTGCGCGTCCACAATCCCGTACACGGGGTGTATAATTATGATTCATGGTTTCAAAATAATATTTCATATATATTCATATACTTTCAAATGTATGGATTTTTATCAGAAAAAAATATAGATAAACATTTTCTTGATTAATTAAGGATAGACGGCAGTTCATCCGGATAAAATAAGTCTGCTAATTATCATTCATTCTTATCTATAGACTTTGAAAGTGAATTTACTATTTTTAATTTATTATGAGAAAAAAATACAGAAGTGATAAGAAACCAGTTAGAAACTATCAGGTCATCAGAAAATTGTTGACTTGTAGTTGAAATACTATAAATTAATACGAAATACTGAGTTAAATATGATTTTCTAATTGTTTAGAAACATTAAGTGAGTACTTTGAAATTAATCTAAGCTTGATAATATATATATATATATATATATATATATATATATATATATATATATATATATATATATATATATATATATCCTTTCTTTATTTATTTAAACACATAAAGATAGGTACAAGAAAGTACCAAATAGACATGCGCTACATAAATTATTCGATTTGCGTGAGAGCTAGGATACTGCTAGGGTGCTCAAACTGAAGCAGATGATGTTCGTAGGGGGCCACACCAGCAGCCTTCGACCTAAAGGTCTGATCCACAAGGCAGTAGAGCAACGCCAGAAAATGCAGTAACGTGGTAGCCGGTGACCAACAATTGGTTCATACACCATTTGTTTCCTTAAGATCCTGGAGCCCATGTGCACCATTTGTTTGGAATCAGTGTTTTCCAACCCCCTTATGTAGATCCTCCATATCCATCAACCCATTTAAAGAGTTGGACATTCGCTTTTCGTTCTCTCAATTTTGTAAATAACACCCCCGCCTAGAGAGAACAGTGAGTAGGAGTTTCCTAGCAGTGCTTGTTTGCACGTGGCTATGTGAGAGCATTTTGAGAGGGAGAGTTGACTCTCCTCACTGTCGGCCGTACTAGGGCATTTGAGGGCATATATTCTTCGAATTGTGGATTATCATACATCAACTTTATGTACTGTTATTATGAACTGTCAATTAATGCTTTAGAGTACTGTACTCAATATAAAATGGAAAGAAACATAACACTTGAGCTTTACACAGTCTTATTTTTCATTTATACAATCTAGCTAACAGTGTATGGACACTCATTTTAACGTCAGTTATAATCATCTTAATAGAATGTTATTTATGTGATATTATTTAACTCATCTAAAGTTTCTTCTGTTCAGTTAAAAAAAAGATTGACTTCAATGAAAAATGAATGATGAAATTTGTGCAGTGTAGATGGTCTTGAGTAGCATATTTCGAAATTTTGACAAATAATGATGCCGGCTCAGTGGTCTAAATGTTAAGCGTTCGCTTGCGTTGCTGATAGGTCCTCAGTTCAAATCTCGCGGGCGGCGGGGTTGTGGATGCGCACTGCTGAGGAGTTTCATACTAGGACGAAACGGCCGTCCAGTGCTTCCAGGCTTTCCATGGTGGTCTAGCTTCAATTGACTCATAATTCCAACTAGTGAAATGATGATTGTTTGATTTTCATATCTATTTATGATAAGATTATAATAAGAATTCGGTTAACAATTATTTTGCTTAAATATGGAATGATTGATCAAGATTTTAAAATTTTGATCATTCTAAACTAATCAGTGATAATTAAAATAACCCACAGTGTCATTGAATAAGAAAAAGAGAATTCAGTTAAGGAAATTTTCTTTCCAACGAAATCATTTACTTAAGCTGTGCATTCGTATATATAATTATATGGAAAATGTATGTCCATATACCTATATATATATGAATGTACAGCTTAAGTAAATGATTTCGTCGAAAAGAAAATTTTCTTCGCTGAATTCTCTTTTTCTTATTCAATAATCAGTGATAATAATATCCCATACCAGTAATACCTATATGTGTTGGTGCCATACTCTAAGAATAGTGATAGAAAAACTATTTGTAATTTCTCAGAATTCTTTGATTAAATCTTGAAAATCCTAGTAAACTTGAGCTCACGTATTAGTTTAACATTAATCGAATATGTACTAAAATTTTAGATAAATAAATAATACTTTAGTATCCAGAAGCTGAACTCTACATATTCAGTACCTAATGATGGTCACGTCTCAAATATGCCAAAACATTTAGGTTTAATTTTCAATAAGTTTATACAAATGTCCTAATCATCCTTCTATTTGTTAAATTGCTTTATTTATCGTTAGATCAAACAAAAACAAAAAAAGAAATGTCTGAAGAAATTTTATTGAATTTGTTCTCTAGACTGGATAAAAGTGGTGATGGTATACTCTCAAAAGAAGAATTAAAACAAGGATTACGATCATCGGGAGTTACAGAGAACGCAGTAAATGTAAGTTTTTTTAATGTAAACAGTTTTAATTATGCAATTATTATTATTTTTATGGTTATCATATATGTGTATGAATATCTTCATCAAACTTTTCAAATGATACCAAACAGACAATAGTTGATTTATTTTAGCTATTGTGTAGATACTATATTTAATCCTTAGTTCAGTCCATTTTGACTTATTTAGCAAACATTTATATTTTTACAATTATTGTTTAGTAAGAATCCAAATCCTTTATAAACATCACTTGATATATTGGTTTGATTGACTTGGTAATACAAAGTATATTACTTTAAGAAACGGATATTTGAACATGAAGTATAATTCGTTGTGACATTGAGATACATATCACAATAAAACAAATTTGCTTATCTTCAACGTGAAAGAAAGCTTCACTTTTATTTTCAAACTATCATTGAATACTGATAACTTCGAGCTGAGAGTTAACAACGGTAGTGTCTAATTCTTATCGTGCAACTGAAATGAATGTCACTCATTGTCACATTTACTTATTTTAATAGTAGATCCGTTTCTGTAGAATCAAAACTACTGAAATGACTCTGTGATCAATTATTATAATTCAAAATATTTACAAAAGTATATCCATGTTAAAATGTTTCGATTTGAAAAGAGACTATCTTTACTGATTCACAGTCAGTATGTCTCACGTACACGTTGAATGAGTTCAATCTTTTATCAAAATGTAAACATATATATAATTGACTGAATTCTTCCAATTATTTTGTAGAAACTTATAGAAAAGCTCGATTTAAATTTTGACAATAATATTACATATGAAGAATATATACAAGCTATACGTCATGAAAATAAATAAAATAGAATCCCTTATTTTTTTAATACGCCTATTCAGGATACAACAATTTATTGTATTGTACAAGATATTTTATTAACTATTTCAAAACTATTAGATTAATTATTCTACCATTGTAGCTTAGTGTAATTAATGTATGCTTGAATGATATATATATAAGATGATTTTATTGAATAAAAATAACTTCTGATGAATTGCTTCTAGTTTTTCAAAGAACTATTCAATGTATGTTATTTTATAATAAATATTGACTTATTAAATGGAATCATTTCATATTCAACTAAATGAACTATGAATACATTTAAACATTGGAAATACTAACAGGGTTAAACAATTATGACATAATAATCATGAAGTCAACTGATTTAAAAGAAATCTATCAAAATACGTAATGTTCTTTATTGAAGTACCACAGTATGACGTTATTGTGTCTTCATCGTTTATGACTATGATCTTACTTACCGAAGTTCGAATGGAGTAGAAGATGAGTTAAACACGAAATTTCATGACCCCTTTCAGGAAATCAAGGTTTCGAATGTAGTACTCGTAACTAGCAATTTTAACATTAAAGTCGATAAGCTAAGTAATAATGAAAAACACATTCATGTGTCTTATGGATTTCAAGCTTGTAATGGCTTAGTTTCGTTAATCAATCACCTTGATAACCGTTATTATATAAATCCCAATAGTGTTTGAAATCAAAAGGTAATAAGAAGTGGCGACTACAGTTTATTTGTGGATAGCACGAATCACAAAGCTACAAGCACATCGAGCGAATGTGAAGCAGAGGCGAATATGTAGGCTAGCGAATACAGTGGCAAATTTATAGTTTAATCGCATAAGGGCACAGTAAGGCAAACCAAAGGCTAAAAATTGAACTGGAGTGTATATATACATGGGAAAGAGAATGATTCATCGAGCGATATATTTAAGCTATCAACATGTAAGCTTGAGAGATTTGCGTAGGCTATCATGTAATCAAGCGTACACGTTAATACAGACAAGATAGTGATCATAATAGTACAAGGAAATATGAGAATTGTTCCCGTTTGAATAACATTGTCTTTTAAGGAAGTTTATAAAAGTGCTCCAAAAAATTTAACCGTAATTGAAATTGAATGTAGATAATAGTGAACGTCTTCTGCAATTTTTTATCAAGTCCACATACCGCGAATAAAGACATTTTTAACCTGACAACTTTAACACCAATACAAAGTTGGACACAAATATAGCATGCTGCCAGCATTCTAAAACGTGGGTGCCAACAGATCCAGATGGATTATCCACCAAAATGGTTGGTGAAAGTGGTCCGATCCAAGTTGTTGAGATGTTAGCGAGAGTCTGGACACTTAACGTAATCCTATCTAAATTGTCTCAAACTCTGGTCATCCGGGTTTGTATTAAATAGCCAAAAACCCTATTGTACCAATCACACAAGAATCAGTCTGACTAATTTTGTGTCCAAAATATTAGTGTCATTTATTATCCAGTGCCAATATAGGGCTCATGAAGAGCACACACGAAAAAGGCAATAATGTATGTCATTGAGAAGCGTGGAAACACAGGTACTCCTGGTCAAGTTAGAGTTTGCAACGAACTGTCACCAAAAATATCAATACCAAGTAGCGTTCGTCAGTAATGCCCACTATTCCCATTTTTACTTAAATTTGTCATCGATAACCTCTGAGCAATAACTTTGTATTGGACTAACATTTCGGAAATTGATCTCGAAAATAAGAGGTTTACTAATGGACTCGGAATGCGCGTATAATGTAATCGCCTTTGATGAAGACTGATAAAATACTGAGTTTTCCAATCACCTTCAGCATCAATGCAAATAAGTTAGATATGCCTTACTCTTCCTCTCAATAAAAAATAATACTTCTCAAGTGATTTGCCTTAACAAACTAATTAGTGATAGAAAGTGAAGTAGTTGAGTGTGCCAATAATTTCACCCTAATGTATAGTCTCATCAGTCATGATTGACTGGTGTCTGACAAAATCATGTATGCAGAGGTCTGTGTTTGGCTTTTGCTATTTGCATCACTTGTACCATAGGTGAGTTGTCCATCTGTCAACCGAGAAACGAGTTTTCTGAGTGATAGTTCAGGCTTTTCTACCTGATGGGTGTAGAACCTGACTGTTGAGAAGAAGGGATAATCTTAGGCTAGCATTATTCGATAATGTGTGTTTTCGAGACATCGATCACGTATGATAGAACCACCTGAATAGCAATACTGAAATGTGGAATAATGCACTGACTGAAGATAGAGAATCGGTTGACGAAGTGGTGAATTGTGATCGAGTGAGTTGGTTTGGACATGTGTTGCATATACTTAATCGATATCCATCTCAGTGAGTGATGTTGTCTGTCGTCGGACTAGGTTAGGTGAAAGATAGTGGATTGGACAAATGAAGACATGACATCAGTTCGTGATGTCGTTGACTGCTGCACTGAGTCATATAAATAGATGCCGACATCTTGATTTGATGTTCATGTTATCCTTAAAACTAATGGTTTGAGAAGTTGTGTGATAGTAACAACAACCAATAAACGAGTACTGTTGAAGCAGTAACAGTTTCTAAATAAAAATAATATATTTGTAATATCCCAATGAGTAGAAAATTGGATTTTCTGACGTTTCGTGGCTTAGTGTAAGTCACTTCTTCAGAGAATAAATAACCAAATTAAATTAATCCAAGTTTAAGTAGTACAACGGAACAATGCAAGAATAATATTTGATCAAACAAAAAACAGGTCTGAACAAGTTGATGTCATGTCATTTCTGTCAAGTTGATTCATAAGTGATAAGTATGTAAATTTGTGTGTGTATGTATATGTGCATTGTTTAAGAATGAAAACTTGTGTGACCTTTATGGTAAGAAAGGATAGAGTTTAAATTTGTAATATGAAAGTGTGAAATTGTAAATACGATCAGACTGAATGGTTAGGATAGATGGTCCAAGTAGGATGTATAGCAAGACCTTCCTTTCTATTGAGAGAAGTAGGATTAAGCATTATGTGGAACGCCTCAGCTACCCTCCTTTCTTTGTAGTTGGAAAAGACTTTTTGCAATATTTTGATATTTTTAAAATCGATTTGGTGGTTGTTGAAAATGGCATGAACTGCTATTGCCGATTTAATTTGAAGTTGGTTCAATTCTACCGGATTGTTAGGAGGTTTCTTTGTGTACCTAATATGTTCTTTGGCTCTAGTCACGATTTCGCGGGATGACTCTCCAATATAATAGGCATCACAATCGATACAACCTAATTTGTAAACGCAGTTCTGTGTGGACATGAAAGGGATTTTTTCTTTCAGGCGAACTAAAGTATTACGTAGTGTGTTCGTTGTTTTGTAATACACTTTAATTCTGTGGTGTTTTAAGATTCTTTGAATTTCTTCTGTTGTGCCATGACGGTATGGTAGAACTACAGTACCAATCCATGGCATTTCATTCGAAACCTTATTATAATGTAATAAATTGTTTTGTTTTAATATGCTTCTAATAATCTTCATAGGGAAATTATTAAATTGTAAGGTGCTAATTATATTCATTTGTTCTTTTTGTTTGTCTTCCTCTGATGTGATGATCTTGTTAGCTCTTCTAAAAAGGCTTTTCCAACTACAAAGAAAGGAGGGTAGCTGAGGCGTTCCACATAATGCTTAATCCTACTTCTCTCAATAGAAAAGAAGGCCTTACCATACACCCTACGTGGACCATCTATCCTAACCATTCAGTCTGATCGTATTTACAATTTCACACTTTCATATTACAAATTTAAACTCTATCCTTTCTTACCATAAAGGTCACACAAGTTTTCATTCTTAAACAATGCACATATACATACACACACAAATTTACATACTTATCACTTATGAATCAACTTGACAGAAATGACATGACATCAACTTGTTCAGACCTGTTTTTTGTTTGATCAAATATTATTCTTGCATTGTTCCGTTGTACTACTTAAACTTGGATTAATTTAATTTGGTTATTTATTCTCTGAAGAAGTGACTTACACTAAGCCACGAAACGTCAGAAAATCCAATTTTCTACTCATTGGGATATTACAAATATATTATTTTTATTTTTATTTATAACAATCAACCCAATGCTCAATTTATTCGAAATTATCAAATCAAACCTTGGTAATGACACCTAGTAACAGTTTCTGTTTTAAATATGCTTGCTTATATCGAGAGCATTCAATGTTTCACTCGAACAATCATTCGTGATTCATTCTTTTACTATCATAAACTAACAGACATATTATATACACATGATACTTAAATTTTTGAATTGTTGTTAACGAATGGTACTAGTTTGGAGTTCGAGGTTGAATATTTACGCTGGAATGCAACTACATCCTGCTAACGAGTATAAAACAGGACGAAATGTGCCTCCTGGATTTCACTACAAGTCATCATCCATCTCTGCCCTATAGTATTATTGATAGTTTTGAAATTACTATCTGGTGATTCGTATGATGACTGGATATTATATTCGTTAATACAGTTGACTATATGATGATCTGAAATGTGAATGATTTTTTGATCGAATTTCTAGTGTCCACTTCATTAAAATTTTAAGATCTGAATAATTTATTTGTCTTAATGTAAAAGTAAAACCGAAAATCTAATCGTATATATTAATGTAAAAGAATTTGAGATCAAACTAATTGAGCAAATAATCACATCATAATATTAAATGATCAGCCTAAACATAATAATGTTGAATATTAAGATAATATAACTTTATAACAGAGCCAAAGAAAATGAAATCACTATTGAAAGAAATCTAGTAGAAAATAGTATCATCCTATTCTAAGAACATACAAAGTATTATTCTTAAAGTGATTATTTATTAGAAAATATTTAACCAAAAAAGGATATGGTCTATGATTTATGTTGAGATTTGTTTCTCTTAATATATAACATTCTAATAACCATCTATTCATAATCAATGATTCAACTATACAAAAATGTCTGTGAATAA